ATTGCAAGTGAGTCGACGGTGAATCTTGCAGGTGGAGCCAGGGGGCAAGTGGAACGGAATGTCGTTTTGCTATTAGCCGCCTGCTGGAAGACGTCGAACAATGTTGCGATGCCCTGCGGGGTGGGGCAGCTACCGCGCAGTGTGGGGTCGACGCGCAGGGCGTTATGATGGGTGGTGGGCCCATTGGTGGCAGTGCTGAATCCGTTCGCACGGCTGCCGACGGGCAGGCGGTCGATGCCCACGCCAAGGGATTTCCGCTCCATGGGGCCACCGACGAGTGGACAGCAGCCACCGTGGAGGTGCGCAGAGGAGGTTTTGTCACCCGTGGAGCTGATCACCAGGCAAGCAGCAGTGCTGAATCGTTCCCGGGCCAGGCTGTCGACGGGCAGGTGGCCGATGCCCTGGCCCAGGGTACCACGCTCCACGAAGCCACTGGCGAGTGGGCCGCAGCCCCCGAGGAGGTGCGCAGAGGAGGCGCTGCTGCTTGCAATACTTCGACTACGCCGACAGGAGCCAGTCCGTTTGCGGAAGAGTCGCGCGCGAGGGGCAGGCCCGGCAGAGCCATGACCGAGTTGGCGGAGGTCGCGGGGGGGGCAGAGGCCCCAGGTCAGCGGCGAAGCTGGGCCTCAGCGACGTGGGCTGGAGACTCGTGCGCGTCAGTCTCGTGGAGATGGTTCGGGTAGCGCTCGAGGGCGGGGCTTCGTCACTGTCAACATCGCTGCAGCGCAGAAGGGAGCAGCTAATTTGGTATTGGTTGGCAATGAGGTGCTTGGGTTGTTCCCGAACGTGGACGGTCTTATTCCGGGAACGCAGGTTGCCGCGTGGGGCGGCGGGCGACGCTGTGCTTCGGCGCCGCCATCCGGGCTGGAATTGTCGTCTGCCCCCAGCCCGCGAAGGGGCGCGGCGAGCTGCCGGCTCGGGCGCAACAGTCGGTGCGCGACAAGACATGGCCGCCACGGTGCCAGCTGACCTTGGAGGAGTGGCACCACCAGCACGGGGGTGGACAGCGCAGTGGGTGGATGGCGTGTTGCCAGGTGGTTTCATTGTTGCCTCCATCTACCTAGTCTCTGGGCACAAGATCAAGGAGTTTGAGGACGCCAACAAACGCATAATCCTGATGTGCATGGGGCAGCTCAAAAGAATTTGCAGGCCTCTTATCTTCGGGGGCGACTGGAACGTGGCCCCTTCTGAGTTAGAGAAGCTCCAGGTGGTGCACTACGCTCTCGCAGGGCATGTGCTTGTGGAGAACGGAGGGCGCTTGACTATTCCGTCGTCAGCATGCACTTCGAGGGGTTTGTCGCGGGGGTGGAGAGGATGAATGGGCTTTTCATTGCTACGCATCTGATCGCTAGACCTGGCGTTGCACTTGCACAGCAGCTCAACATGCTGAAGACGTTCCCGAAGGAGTGCCCAGCAGGAGTGCCGCGACCTCCGCCGCCGCGTCAGCGCATCCATGGAGAATGCCAGCATGTCCGAGGCAAAGGAGACTTGCAGTGGTGCTGCGCTGAGTGGCAGAGGGTAGCTGGATAGGAGTCGGCGGGCCGCTGCCAGCAGAACGATCGGTTGAGCAAAGATTGTCAAGGCCGTGGGGGGGAACCGTGGCCAGAGCTCAAATTGGTGGCGACTGTGCGCAAAACTCCAGGGCGCTGCGCTGAAGGCAACACTGCATCACGGATATGGCGGCGAGCCTCAATGGTCATGGTGGACGGCATGCTTGAGCTGAGGAGGACTTGGGATCAGGGTTGCAAGTTCGCGGGGGCCAGGTGTAACACCATGAGGAACCGGAAGAACAGTATGGTAGACATTGGGCCGCATTGGGGCATCTGGTGTTACAAATATGACTCTGGGTTTTCGTGGGGAGGGGACTGGATTAGAGATGCAAGCTGGAGTGCTGCTATGGAAGCGACCAGGATCGAGCAATATTTTGCCAGGAGTTGGGCGCGACAGTGGAGGGCGCTAGTCGCTGAGGTTGTCCAGAGTGGGGACAAGAACGCACGCAGATGGTCGAAGCTACCTACATCCCAGCAGCAGGCTGATGTCCACCCGGCGCTTGGGATCCAAACGCACGCCTCCAAGCTGAAGTCTGACCTAGTGGAATGGAAGAAGATATGGCGAGTGCGCGACGGAGAGGAGAGTGTTTATGCTGGTTTACCGGTACAGATGCCTGTGGGCGAGTTGCAGGTGCTGGATGCTAAGCACATCAGGAAAGTGGCCAGCAGCTTGAAGCGTGGTGCTGCTTCGGGGGTGGACAATCTTGTGCCGCGCAATATGGCGCTGTTAGCAGATGGCTCGCTCGAGGCGTTCGTTGACACCATGAAGGTTGCGGAAGCCATAGGTGGGCTGCCGCCTGAGATGACTACCACCATCATGCCCATATTGCCCCAGCCAAAACGTGGTAATCGGTTCGTTGGCCTACTCACAGACGCTCTGAGGATCTGCAACAAGTGCCACAAGAGGGGCCAAGACGAGTGGCTTGGAGCGAATGTCCAGGTTTACCACACCGCGATCGCACTGAGGAGCTCTGAGCAGGCGGCATGGACGCAATTCTTGACGCTTCGCGTATCCCCACCAGCGTGACCCTGTTCAGTGCTGCCTCCCACTGCTGCCTTGCGTTACCACCCTGTGGACTGCGCTGCGCGGTCTCGGCGTATGACGGGCATTCGGTCTCCCCTTCGTCGCTCCCACGCGCATTTCGTTGTGCGACCACTCCCTGGGACGTCGTGACCGTGAAGGGCTTGCTGTCTTGGGTATACGATAGTCTCTGTCCTTCGAGCGCTTTCCTCGACCTGGCTCCGTGTGTCGCATGGCGCTGCCGTCACTTAGTCGTTTGGTGCACGCCCACCTTCGATTGACCGTGTGTCTCTCACCTGGTGGGTACTCGTGTACTCCTGCTGCGGCACACCAGATCTCTGGTCTCCTGCGTGCAGGCGCATCTCTCAGCAGCTGTTTGGCGATTGCCTTAGTTGCTTTGGCCTCAGGCTCACCCCATCAGCCGCGGATGCGTTTTCTGAAGCTGCGACGGTTCGCTGGCGCTGTCAGAATCCCCCTCCTTGCTGGACGACGTCAGCCAGCTTTGGTCTGCTCATACCCGTCAGACTCCCTGGGCTGACTTTCTCGCACGGAGTTTGGTTCCCACCACCACGCGGTTGTCGCTTGTCACGACCACGACTGGGAACGTACGGCGCGCCATTTTGGCCACGCCTGGCTTGCTTCCTGGGTGACTGACCCCTCAGACTCCCTGGGTTGCAGCTTGCACGACCGCCTTGGGCAACTGACCCCTCAGACTCCCTGGGTTGCAGCTTGCACGACCGCCTGGCCTCTCAGACGCCCTGGGTTGCTGCCCCCCCCCGCCGCCTGATCCGCGGCCCCCGCGCGCGCCCAGGAATTCGTCACGGCCGCAGCCCGACCGTGACTGCTCGCCGCGGGCGCTTCCGCTTGCGGCTGTAATAAAAAATATCCCCACCAGCCCATGCAGAAACGATGTCCAGACAAGTTCAAGAGATCAGGGAAGTGGGGGAGCAACGAGAGGGACAGCCGATCCGTGCAAAGGATGAGGCGGAAGAGGAGGCCAGATGGATAGATGAGGGGGTGGCGAGGAACCGAGCAAAGGAGGGATGAGGAGAATGATGACGTTGGGTGGATGGTTGAATGCCGCTCGGATGCCTCTTGGAAGCCTTTTGGAAGCCTCTTCGGGCGTCTTGGGGGTCTCTTGGCGGTCAATGGGGGCTCTTGGGCGTCTTGGGTGCTTCGGCGGGGCCTCTTGAGACCGCTTGGGATCCTCTTGGGGGGCTCTTGGGGGCCTGTTGGAGGCCTCTTGGGGCCTCTTGGGGGTCTCTTGGAGCTTCATGGCGGCCCGTTGAAGCCTCTTGGAGGCCTCTTGGAACAATCCTGGGAGCCTCTTGGGGGCTTCTTGGGGCCTCACGGCGGCCTCTTGGGGCCGCTTGGAGGCCTCTTGGAAGCCTCTTGGGGCCTCCTGGGCGCCCTTTTGGGCCATTTTGGAGGAGATCGATCAAAGAAGAGGGTTGGGTTAATTAGCCCTGCCCCCCCAAGAAGCCAAAATCGGGCCGAGGCCGTTTTGGACGCTCCAACTACCAGCGAAACCCCCCGTCCAGGTCCAGGGGAGGGGGTTAGAGGGAGGGGTAAACCCCTCCCCGAAGGGGAAGAAGGAGGTTGGAAGAGGAAACTCCCGGAGCCACCTACGCCCAGAGGGCTGGTGGGATTCGTCACGGCTGAAGCAGGTTTGGCGCTCAAGAGACACGCAGCCACGGTCATGCTGAATCCCGAGAAGGTTCTCGAGAAGATGCCGCGTGCGAAGTTGTGGGAGGTTGGCGCGTTGGCAGTCCTGAGTGGGTCCTGAGGGGGCTCCGGCAGCACTTGGAGTCGTCTTGTGGCCCTCGTCGGGCCTCTTGGAATTATACCGGAATCCATATTGAGCTACCTTCGACTATCGTGTGCCATTTTAGAGGCCACTTTGGAGCATCGGATACCCTCTTTGAGGCATCTTCGGCGAAAAAGGTCCCTCTGACACATCGCGACCCGCACTACCAAAACCTGAGGGAGGGGAAGGGGGAGGGTACCCCTCCCCGAAGGAAAGTGGAAGAGGAGAGACACATATCGCCAGGCCACCTTAGCCCAAACGGCTGGGATTTCCGAGCCGCCTTGCGACAGGCGTCTTTGTTGGCGGAAAGGTTGTTTTCATATGTAGAGGAGAGGGAGGAGGAGGAGGAGGAGGAAGAGGAGGAGGAGGAGGAGGAGGAGGAGGAGGAGGGAGGAGAGGAGGAGGAGGAGGAGGAGGAAGGGAGCAGGAGGAGGAGGAGGAGGAGGAAGAGGAGGAGTTGGGAGGAGGAGGAGAAGGAGAAATGAGGAGTGAAGAGGAGGAGGAGGAGGAGGAGGAGGAGGAGGAGGCGGAGGAGGCGGGGAGGGAGGGGGAGGAGCGTTTTGTCGTCGCATTAGATACCACGATTCGTCCGCCAAATGTATTTGAACCAGTCCCAGCGCAGGATTCCACGCACGTCCTCGCTTCCGCGCTGGGCAGTTCCCACGTGGGCTCCACCATGGAGGTGAACCGCGACGCCCGGCTCACGAGCAGCCTGGTGCTCCGGGTGTGGGACGTGCACCGCCGGCTCTTCAAGGCCTGGCCGGGTTCAGTCCACCTCCTCCTCCTTCTCGTCCTCCTCCTCCACCTCTTCCTCCTCGTCCTCGTCCTCCTGCTCCTCCTCATCCTTCCTTTCCTTTTCCTTTTCCTCCTCCTCCTCCTCCTCCTCCTCCTCCTCCTCCTCCTCCTCCTCCCCCTCCTCCTCCTCCTCTCTCTCTCTCTCTCTTCTGTTCTCTCTTGTCTTCATGTTGCTCCTCCCCGCGTCGCCCATCCCTCGGTGTTTTTCTTCCTCAGGGGACGCCCCCGCTGTTGGTTGCGACAGTGCCCAGGTTTCGCCGAGAAGGGTACCCATCGGCGGGTTTTTCGGCACGGCGCAGGGCAGTTTCAGGAGAGTGCCACTCTCGCGCGGGGATGGCGCGGGAAAGCTGCAGGCGAGCGCCACTTTCCCGTAGATCGACCAGAGTCCGCGTCTATTGAGCAGCGTGGCGTTGAAGGGTGCTTTCCTTGGTGGGGCTCGAGGAAGAAACCAGGGCTGGCCCTAAGCGTCGTTTTGCTGGAGCTCGGCTGTGTTTTTTGTTCTTCGTTTTTGGCAGGTGGGTACAGGAAAACAGGCAGGCCAAGACGAACGACAGGACGAGCACCACAGAGCAGCAACGGTCAGGCCCAGCCCTGGAAGAAAAATCTGCGCGATGACCAAGGGCTCCCCCGAGGGCGCGAAGTTATTCGCGCTTCGCGCTTCGCGGACCTCGTTCCTTCTCCCCCTCCTCCTCGTCCTCCTATTCTCCCTTTGGGGGGGCGGCGCGAGGGCGCGAAGTTATTCGCGCTTCGCGCTTCGCGCAGCGCGAAGCGCGAAGTTGGGAGCCCTAGATGAGCTGTCGAAGGTCCGCGCGCATCTCCTGTATCGGCGCTGGCGCTCCCTTCGCGGCGCCTCCGGCGCCCACCCGGGACCTCCGGCAGACTCTGTCTGCTTGCGTGGGCCGCAGAGCTGCCCGCGTCGTGCACGCCTCCTCCTCCTCCTCCTCCTCCACCTCCTCCTCCTCCTCCTCCTCCTCCTCCTCCTCCTCCTCCTCCTCCGCCTCCTCCTCCTCCTTCTCCTCCTCCGCCTCCTCCTCCTCCTCCTCCTCCTCCTCCTCCTCCTCCTCCGCCTCCTCCTCCTCCTTCTCCTCCTCCGCCTCCTCCTCCTCCCGCTTTCGGCGTCACTGCATCGTGGTGGTCAGGAATGGGGCTCTGGAGGGAGAGGAGGCGAGACGGTACAGCACGGGCGCCTCGCTCGAGACGTCTCCACGCCGTGGGCGCGCACGGGCAAACCTTCCCTTGGGCTTTTGCTTTCTCAGTGCCGTCTCGAGATGTTCGGAGAAGCACACAACAGCAGGAACATAAGCGTTCGGAAGTCCGCGCGGACTTCTCGGGTCAGCGCTGGGGCCCCCATTGGCGGCGCTTCCGGAAGCTTCATGTTCCCTCTCTTGGGCCCTTTTTGGAGCCGTCTTGGGGCCCTCTGGGGCCGTTTTGAGCGCCTTTTGGGCCACCTTCAGGTCCTCTTAGGCCGTTCCGGGGGCGTCTTGGCGGCCTCTTGGGCTATCTTTGGGGGGTCTTGGAGGCCCTTTGGGCCGTCCTGGAGAGTCGGGAAGCCGAAGCAGCGAGAGTGCTAACCACCCACAACAACCTTTCGGGAAAACCAATGATTCTTACCTCTCGAGGCTCTCTTGGGCGGCTTCTTGGAGGCCTCTTGGGGAGCCTTAGCGGCCTCTTGAGCCGACTTGGAGCCATTTCGGACGTCTTGTAATGATCATTGGGCGTTTCGGGGCCATCGGGGACCGTCTTGAGGGCCTATTAGGATCCTCTTGGCCAGTCTGGAGGCCCTCTTGAGCCCGAACAAGCCATGCGACGAGATGCCTGGAACCCTATGGTTAAGTCGGGCGTGTCCCCCTACAGGGGGATTTTCGACGAAGGATAAAAGATACCCCAAACATAGTCAAAACATAATCCAAAACTAGTCTGGGGACTATTTTGTTCGTATTGTTTTACCTTTTTGGAGTATGTTTCAAAATGTGGCTCTCGCCTAAGCGCGGCGTACATTCATTCAGAACAGTATACAACATTGCGGGTTGAGGACATGTGGTTTTTAAAATGTGGTTCTCGCTTGAGCGCGGACCACTCTCGTTTAACAAATGAGCAAGAGCTTCACGGATTGAGGGCGTTTCCTTTTCAAAATGTGGTTCTCGCCTTAGCCCGGCGCACATCCGTTTGAACATTATGCAACAGTTTGAAGGATTCCCACCAGCATTGTGCGAGAAATGGTGGATTGAAAGGATTAAGGATCATGTGGGTGCAACAGTTAGATTGGTTCTTCGTGCTGAAGTCCCAGGAATGGCGTTCTGGCACGATTCAGGATTGTCAGGACGCAACAGTCAGGTTGATCCGTGGCGTTGGAATCCCGAGAACAATGTTTTGGCATGCTTCAGGGTCTTCGAATGGTTGTCTTCCATAGAGGCAGCTCTTTCAAACCTTTGTATGGGCCTGTGGAGAGGGAGCTTGGAGTCCTCCTCCCCCATCGTCCTCCTCCTCCCCCTCCTCCTCTTCCTCCTCCTCCTCCTCCTCCTCCTCCTCTCCCTCCTACTCCTCCTCCTCCTCCTCCTCCTCCCTCCTCCTCCTCCTCCTCCTCCTCCTCCTCCTCCTCCTCCTCCTCCTCCTCCTCCTCCTCCCCCCCCTTCTCCTCCGCCTCCTCCTCCTGCTCCTCCCGCTGCCCCTCCTGCTCCTCCTCCTCCTCCTCCTCCTCCTCCTCCTCTCCTCCTCCTCCACCGCCCGAGGCCACTGACAGCACACGAAACTTCACGCCCCAGGCAGGGATTCTGTTGGCATGCAAGGCCCCCACGGCCAGAGCCCTTGCGCGCGAGCTCCTGGGACAGTCGCGACCGAGGTGGGGTGGGGCCAGGGCGATCTTCGGTCCCCGCGGGGGATCGACCACACGCAAGAGAGACCCTTCGCTGGAGCGACCTTCTGGTGCGGGCTCACGGGGCCCCCCTTGTCGCTGAGCGCGATGCGATGATGGCTGCTCGCGCGCTCGGATGTGGCCACCTTGCGCTTGGAATCGTATGGCAGGAGATGTTCTTCACCTCGTGAGCGTCTGCTAGTTTTCACCCGCCTGTGCCCTAAGCGGCCGCCCCTTCGCGGGCATACAGGCTCGACCTTGCCCTTGACCTTGCGCCCCCTTACCCGACCCCCGACGTCGTGATTTTTTCGCAGCGGCGACCCCCAGAAGTCTGGACCCCTTCCCCGGGACCGGGTTTTCATACTGAGTCGTTTATTGACGGTCCTGAGGCCCGGTAAGGAAGGGCCCCGGGAGGCCGAAAATGGCGAAAGGCCTCCCGCCGTGGTCTCTTCACACCGCGAAGAGGTCTCGCTACTCCGCGCACCAAGGCCGCTCTCGCCCTGGGCCACTGGCGTGCAGTCGAGGGGGCCCTCGCCAGAGCTCCGCCCACGAAGAAACAACTCCCCTGGTCCCCAGGGGAGGGGCCCAGGCCTCTGCTGGGGAGGGCCATGCTCTCGGGCGGTCCCGGGGCCCAGCCCCCATCTCGACGGCACGCGCATGAGAGTGACCCCTCGCCAGAGTGACCCTCGGTGCGGGCCCACTTGGGGCCCCCGACCGCTGAACGAGATGCGGAAGCAGCGGCTTCCGCGCTTGATTTGGTCCCCCCGCGGCCCCAACAGATCCGCGCACCAGAGGTCACTCTTGCCCAGGGTCACTCTTGCGTGTGGCCGACCCTCGGGCAATGAACAATTCATGGCGAGAGGTTTTCCTAAATTTTCGGCCTGCGGGGGCTTCTGCCAGGCATCGGGGCCGGCAACAAAGACGACTCAGGGTGAGAAGCCAGTCCAGGGGAATGGGTCGAGACCTCGGTGGGTCGACATCATGCACAAATCATTACGTAAATCATGATGTCGGGGGTCTGGGGACTGGATGCATCGCACCAGAGCGTTCCGGAACGCCCTCACAGCGTCGTTACAGAGCGCTCTGGGATGGCCGCCGCCACGGCGCCCGATACACCCTCCAGAAACGCCGCATCTCAGAGATCCCCGATCTGCCTCAGTCCGATGTTGTCCCGGTCCTGGCTTCGTCATACACGTAACGTAACAATCACGGCGCCGGATGCCTGTGCCCCATCCCCTCTCTCGGGGCACAGCAAGGAACCACAACCACTACTCCGTAGATTTCTCTGGAGGGCCCCTCGGGGAAGAACCCGCCGACCTCGACATGCACACTCAGGTAGTGGTCGTGGTCGATTTGGCCGTCCTGGGACGCCCATATCGGCCACGACCACCGCTGAGCTCGTGCCGGTGCTCTGGCGATGGTTGGCATGCGCAAAAGGCATCCCTGAGGGCGAGTCCCCGGTGTGGCGTTGGCCGCTTGCTGCCCCCGCAGGCCCTGGACCCCATCTTCCTGCGAGGAGGAGGAGGAGGAGGAGGAGGAGGAGGAGGAGGAGGATATTGTTGTTCGAGCGGAACAGAGCTGTGGTGGCTCTGGGGGCCCGAGGCTGGCCGAGCGTGCACAGCGCGAAAGACATGGCAGAGCTCGCTCGACCTCCCGACTGCGGCTCGTAACTCGGGCGGGTCTTCGGCAGCCGTTCGCGACGACACGGGCAGGAGGAGGGAGGAGGGAGGAGGAGGAGGAGGTGGAGGTGGAGGTGGAGGAGGAGGAGGAGGAGGAGAAGGAGAATGACCCCCAGGAAGCTCTCGGCGAGGCGCGGCTGCTGGAGAGCGCCCCGAGGTACCAAAAACTCCAGGAGCCAACGAGCGCTCCCCCCCCCTCCGCGCGCTGCAACCTTCACGCGGCAGCCCCCACGATGCAGCCCTGACGCCGCAGCCCGAACGTTGCGACCCTAGCGGCGTAGATTGCAGCGCCCGGATCTCGGGAACCTCGGGTGCCCATATGCCCCCGACCGCCGCCCCGCCCTGCCCTCGCCCCGCGAGGCCAAAGCGAGGCTGGGGCGGAGCACCGCGTACATGCAGGCGGCCCGCCTCTGTCCAGGCCTCCCAGGTGGGGTCGGAGCAGATCGGGCGAAGAGAACTATGCACATGCACCGATCCTGACAACGCCCATCCTTGACCCAGGATCGGTGCATACACATTCCTGGCCAAGGTAGGAGGGCGTATGCACCGGTACTGGGCTCAGGATGGGCCTGGCCAGAGTCGGTGTATGTGCATAGCTCTTTTTCGCCTAGTAGACGGGTCGGCTGGAGGGTCGCGCCGCATCGCCGATTGATCGGCGATGCGGCTCGATGTGGAGCACGGTTTTCCCAACGCCGACGTCGCCGACGCATCGGCGACGTCGCCGGTGCCTCGCCGGTGCATGGTCGATGCATCGGCGTTCCGGCGCGATCCTCAGACCCCATCTGCTCTTCCTGTGGCTCCTTCTTCTCCATACCCATTCCATGACCGAGGATGGCGGAGGAGGAGGAGGAGGAGGGAGGAGGAGGGAGGAGGAGGATTCAGGAGGAGAGAGGAGGAGGGAGGAGGAGGAGAGGAGGGAGGAGGAGGAGAGAGGAGGAGGAGGAGGAGGAGGAGGAGGAGGAGGAGGAGGAGGAGGAGGAGGAGGAGAGGAGAGGAGGAGGAGGAGGAGGAGGAGGAGAGGAGGAGAGGAGGAGGAGGAGGAGGAGAGGAGGAGGAGGGAGGAGGAGGGAGGGAGGAGGAGGAGAGGAGGAGGAGGAGGAGGAGGAGGAGGAGGAGGAGGAGGAGGAGAGGAGGAGGAGGAGGAGGAGGAGGAGGAGGAGGAGGAGGTAGGAGGAGGAGAGGAGGAGGAGGAGGAGGGGAGAGGAGGAGGGGGAGAGGGGAGGAGGAGGGGGAGGAGGAGCAGGAGGAGGAGCAGGAGGAGGTGCAGGAGGAGGTGCTGCATCAGCAGTGCGGCGATACCTGGGCTGCTGCCCAGGGTTTTTAATTCAGTACACCCCAAACCTCCACGTTCCCAGGGCCCCGTACTTGTTCGGTAGCAAATCATGGGAGCCTGGTATACCATGCAGGGAAGGCTGGAGGGGCTGGAGGGAAACAGGGGCACGTGGGGGGGGGAGGGGCAGGAGGCGAGGGGAAGGGCAGGGCAGAGGGTGCAGGGAAGAGGAGCAGAGAAGAGGAGGTGAAGGGACAAGTGGAGGGGATGGGCGAGCAAGACTTGATCGGTGAACCATTTTAATTCCGTTTTTAACGTCGACTAGCGTCTGGGAGTTGATCAGATAGCGCTGATTTAGCGTCGGCTAGCATCGATGAGCGTCGATGAGTGTCGATTTAGCGTCGACGGGCGTCGATGTGCAAGAGCCAACAAGATGGTATGGGAGGCCCCCAAGAGTTGCCGCCGAACCGTGCTTGTCGCCAACTGGCCTCGGCTCCGACCCCAGCAGGGAGAGCTCTGCTTTGGGCGAGCCATCCAGGGGGCGTCGGCCGACCACCTGATGGGTTTCAGGCAGGGCCGTGCCTTCGAGGGACGTCGGTGTCGGGCAAGACCCAGACGCGCTCGCGTCGTGGAACCATAGCGGCGGGAGGTTTTCGGCCGCATTCGGCCTCCAGGGCCAGGGGCCCTCGCTGGGCCCAGGGACCGCCAAGAACTGCTCCAGGATGTAAGACCGGTCCCGTGGAAGGGGTCCAGACCTTTGGGGGTCGACGTTGTCAAAACAGATCGGGACGTCGGGGGTCTGGGTCGCGTCGTGGCAAAACAACGACCGTGAACAGCGATAGAGCTTTCAACAGGGGCCAGCCTCGATTATGGCTCCGCGCTAGATGCGTCGGCGCTAAAGTTGAGGCGCTCGCATGGAAGATTTCAGGCCGATCCGTCGTCGCGAAGTGCAGCGTCGTCGTCTGCGTCGCAGCATTCGAGCGACGGGGCGCCGCCTGCCGAAGCAGAGGTCGCACCCCTTCGAGGCAGGAGGCGCCGCCTCCTCTTCGCCTCGACGCCGCGGCGTTGGCCCTCCCGCGCACGTTTTTCTGCCCGCTCCGCCGCGGCCGTCGCAGCAGCCACACCGTCGGCTGCCCGCGGGTGCGCGCGAGGACCGCTCGGGAGAGCCCCGTCGCCGTTATGCATGGAGCCGCGCCTCGTCGCCACGTGGCCCACGCTGCCCCCGAAGTCCTCGCCCCTGGAGGTCCAGTGCAGCGGCGACTGCCCCTCCCCGCGGAGGCCATCTCGCGGAGCAAGTGCGCCTTCGGCTCCACGCGCCGACTTCTCGGCCGCATCCGTTGACGAGCGGCAGACAGGGTCCCGAAGCTGCTGGCGGAACCGCGCCTCACATCACGCCTGGAGACGCACCTGGCGCGCAACGTGTGGTGGCGAGTCCCAGAAACACGGTAGGTCTCGGCAGCTTCCTTGCAAAAGAGGATCAGGTGCATGTGTCGTTGGCATCGCAGTGCGCTTGGGTGAGCCTCCACATTTCGTCG